GCGGCACCCAGTTCTTCTCCACTTGCTATCCTCAAGTGTTCTGGCGCCACCAGATGGCACCGGCCTGCAAAGGAAATCCAGAAGTTCACTCCCTCCTGGCCCACGACAACTCCAGGTCCATGCCAAGCCCAATTCTTGTTGTTCTTGGGTTTCCGGTAGAAACACACATGGGATCCAATGTGCAACTCTGGCCCTCCAACTCGAGAACGTTGAAGAAGTCCTTTCCTCAGCTTCGCATCGTTTCTGCACCGAAAATACGCCTCTTTGGCCGCTATCCGCAGAGTGTGCTCTCGGGCTCGTTGTCGGTCATGGCTGATGATGTGCTCGATATGCTCGTCCTGGTAGGAGTTGTGGATGTCCTCGGGCAACCGAGGATCTCGTCCCCATACTGCTTGTGCGGGGCTGAATCCAGAGTCACGTCTCAGAGTATTCATGGCGCTGTTAACCGCGGTGATCACCATGTTGGCCTCGTCGGAGCTCGCTGACCTCTCATCGACCAGACGTCCCCACACTTCTTTCCAGGTTCTGATGGCACGCTCCACCGTGCCGTTCTGCCAATGAGCTTGACCTGCAATTGGTCGAATGAACGTCCCATGCCACTCGCTGAATCGTCCGAGCCCGGCTTGGAGCCCCGACTCCAAATCCACGACCATTGTGCCTGGAGCACCGAAAGTGTTGCTCCACAGCGTGCAGAAGGTGGCCTCCATGGTAGACGTAGAGTGACCTTGTAGTTCACCCGCAAGAGCAAACCCGGTACCCACGTCTATAGCCATCATCAGCTCGATCTTTTCTCCATCACAGTCATACACATAGAAGGCGTCGACAGCCACCACCTGATTGAACTCAAGTAGATTCGGAAGTGATGCTGGCTTCGGAGTAGCTGCCCTCTTGCTTCTCTGACAGACCTGACATTGGAGGCGTTTACATGCATCCACCACAACTGGATCTGCGCCCGCAAGTCGCAAATGTCGGGCTAAGTCCGTATTGGAGGGATGGCCGAGATTCTGATGCAACCTTCGTAGTGACGATTTCACCTCCGGTGCCAGACTTTGGCCCTTGCTGAAGGTGATCGCCTCGGCCCCGACTTTCGGGACCCCGTCCTCCTCCTTGTCGTCCTCTTCGGGCTTGTAGTCGGTGACGTAGGCGCTGAACTGTGGAATGTCCTCGTCGCGGCTCCTTATCCCGGCCTGGTGGTAGAAGTCGTTCATCCTCAGGACGTGAGGTTCGCCATCTCGGTGTCCCCATCTCCCTTCGTAGCGCTGTAGAAGCCGTAGAAGTCCCGGTGATGTCCAGCACGGATCCTCTTGCGGTGCTTCTACTGCCAGTTGTCGTCCTTGGTCGGCGTGTCCACATAGGCAATCGTAGATCTCGTCTAAGTAGGTAGCCGTCTTATCGCCATGGACCCACACCGTGGCCGGAATGAGGTCGCGGATGGTGCGCCGGATCGCCTCGAATCCCCCGGCGCCGTCAAGGTCTGGGGGGTGCTCGAAGGGCTCGGCGACGAGGTAGTCCATCGCCGTCACCTCGAGAGTCTTCTCGATGCCGCCAATTTCGTACAGCGCCACCGACTCCTTGCCCTTGGCGAGGGGAAAAGCATCGGTGGTGTAGGCCGTCCCAGCCGCAACGCACCATGAGGTGAGCGCAGCCAATCTCCCGGCCTTCTTCCAAAGCCCTTTGCGCACGCTCTTCATCGGACGAGCCCGTGTTGCTTTCCCAGCAGGATCCCCAGGTTCAGAAGGGAGAAGAGGTACCCCACGTA